CCCGCCCTGCCGGCAGAGCCTCTTCGCAAGGTGCAAGCCGAGAAACGTGCAAAGAGGCAGGAAGTGCTGCTGGTCAAAGTGCAATGGAAGGACTAAATAACAGGGCTGTTCTGGAAGCACCTGGGCCAGGGCTAGTTCTGACTGTGACCCCAACAGCCTCAGGACTCACCTATTAGCCCCTCAATGTTAATGTTGAGGCGCTTGCATTTGAAGTCTGGATCAGCACCATTCTTATGCAAAACGATCTGGGAAATGCATTCATCAACCAGCTTATAGTACTGAGGCCTATGGAAAGAGAAAAAAGGAACCAGTGTTAACACTGCTCTTGGCAATTAGCCCCTTCAGGAACATCTGCATCTCCACCTCAGCCCTGCCTCCCAGCCCCACCCCCACCCAACACATTCTAGTCAGTTTCAGTCATTGGCTTTACAATGATGATTTCATGATTTCAGATGTACTCTGAAATGTCCTGGGATTGTGCTGGAGGGGTCCTGGGGGTGACAAGGTTACGGTAGGGAAGCTGGTGGTCCTGCTACCCTTGCTTTTCTGCTGCTGTGGAAGCAGTGCTGCCTTCAGGGCTGGAGACAGTGCGGAAGTAAATGGTAATACCACACTCCCTTTAAAAGGACGTCCCTCCTGCAACACCCTTTGGGATCGGATCCCCAGTTTGAGAAATGCTGGTCTCTCCGTGAAACCTGGACAGCGCCAGTAGAAGCGCACACAAGACCAGACTGCATGGCCCATGATGCATTTTCATGGCCATGAGTTTGGTAGGGACTAATTATGAGCTGTCTCCTTGGATCAGAGCTCCAGCCTTCTTATGGCAATCTAGACCACCTGCTGGCAGGAGACTACTTTTATGCCAAACCAACAGGAGCTATTCCCCAACAATGGGTTTGGAAAACAATTTCCAGACAGACTAGTAACGTATTCACTGTTAGTTAGGGAGACAATTAGCTTAGTTGTTTCCGTTTGCCCTTAACAAACTTCCTTCCAACCTACATGTCTGTAACGAGTAGTCTCCAAGTCAGGCGTGCTAGCCACATTACCAATACCACGCTCAGAAAGGGGAGCCATGCCTCTGCTTGGAGCACTACAAAGACACTCCCAAACATGTGCACGCTCAAGGCTAAAATAATTAATGAAAACCATTTAAGGAGGTAGAGCCCACAATTCCTTTGGGCAGGGAGAGAGAGCCCTTTCTTGGAAAATACAGATAGTTACAGCTAGAGCAGCGTACTCAATATCAACTCCTTCTCTCGCCAAAAGCCATGAGGTACAGCCCAACACGGCTGAGGCCAACTCACTGCATTTAAATGTGCTTGGTGATATTTTACTGGAATAGAAATCTTCTGGCAAGGGACTTCCCAGCAGATTCCAAAAGCCATATTACAGCCAAGCCTTGGCCATCGCCCTCCTGTCGTTCTCTTCTAATGAAAAACCAGAACCGTGGCTGGGTTATTTTAGATTACTGCTTGAGTCTCTTTGGCATAATCTTTTCATTCCCAGCACGGAATACAACCCAGTGCATTTTGGAAACAGGAAAAAAAAAACCCAAGCTGTTCTTGAAGCTGCACTAGCTGGTATCAAATTGTCCCAGACAAGTTTAGCTCCAAGGGTATAGCTACACCGCCAATTAGACACCCTCCGCTGACTCAGGCTTGCTGGGCTGTTTTGTTGAAGTACAGACTCCCAGGTTCAGCCTGGAGCCCAGGTGGGAGACACCCAGACCTGACCTCCAGTCCCTGGGGTCCTCCCATCTCATAGGGTTCTAGAGCCAGGGCTCCAGACGTCTACACTGCAGTGAAACAGCCCTGCACCCTGAGCCGGGCGTCGTGGGCCAGCTGCTGGTGGCAGATAACCCCCAAGACAGTTATCCGGGTTGTGCTTCTGAGAACCATAACTATGGCAGTAGTTAGAGGCTTGCCAATATTTCACAAAGCAAGAGTCTATCTTCCTTGCTCTGGAACAGTCTCTCTCAACCGTTTCAGACAGGAAGCCCCTCTCCTGACATCAACTTTTTTTTTGCAACTTCCTTACATTTAGTATCAAAGAGAAAAAGATGCATCAGAGGATAGCAACGGGCCTATATAAAGCTTGCGCTGTTTCAGGAGGTTGACTGAGAATACATGACGCTAAGAATGAAGGCAGACAGGTAGGAAGATTTTCTTTGCTTTTAGCTTGTAATACAATTCTCAGCCCCACAACATCCCATTTACCTTTCGTAACCCCTCTGGGTGCCACAACCCACCGGCTGAACACACTGCTCTAGAACCATCAAAAGGCAATCCAGCCACCTGAAACGCTATCAAAGGACTCAGGTTTGGTTTTGTTCCCTCATCTGAAACACAAAGTGCTTTCCACAAGATTCTCTGCCATCTTCTCTCCAGTTCTGTTGCAGAAATAACATTCTTCAGTTGGACACGCCTGAGAAATCTTGCTGTCATGCCAGATGGTTCTTTGGTTGAGCCACCATTGACCAGGCAGACTGGCCAGTAGCTTCCACAGCTGTACTATTGTCTGAAATCTTGTGGCAACATCAGAGGCTGTGAAATCCAGTTTAGGCATGTGCCTGCATATGAAGGTGGTACTCAGAGGGTTTCCGTCCCTTAGCACACGCTCACACGGCTTTCTGCTTACCCTTGCCTTCCCTATGAGCTCCTGGAGCTTTCCCAAGGTCACTGGTGCTTGGCTGATGTTCCACTCTGGGCACAGCTGGCATTTTGTACCCTCCCATTCTAGAACAGGCCACCACAGCTGTTGCAAAGGACGTGCAGAAAAGGACTTTTGGCCAACGTCTGGTCCTCTTTGAACAACCTAGGCCAGAGGCCCAACTCTCCTTATTGTATGCACAACACTGCAGCCCCTTGCCTTCTCCCTAAAGGGGGTGTTAGAACTTTGAGCTCTGCCTCCTATGCAACATCCAATCCTTTCCTCCCAGGATTGTGAGACTGGCCGCACTGGTCAGACCAACTGTCCATCTAGCCCATATCCTGTCTTCCAACGTGGCCAACACCCAAAGCTTCAGGAGGAATGCAAAGAGCAGGACAGTTGGAATGATCCATCTCAGCCTTTTCCTTTCAGTTTTTGGTAGCCAGATCTTAGATCACCTTAAGAATGGGACTGCATCCATGACCACCCTGGCTAATTGATGATCCTATTCTCCAATAACTTATCTAACTATTTTTTGAACCCAGTGATATTTTTGGCCATGACAATATCCTATGGGCAATAAGTTCCAGAGGCCAATTATGCATTGTGTGAAAAGTTCTCTCGTTAAACTTGCTGCCTATTAATTTCATCAGGTAACCCGTTTTTTGCATGTGGAAAAGGGTAAATAACACTTCTCCACTCACTTTTTTTCATACCATTCATGATATTTTCTACCATATCTCCCCTTAATCCTCTCTAGTCTATGCTAGCAGCTCGAATCTCTTTAACCTTTCCTCAGATGGAAGATGTTCCATACCCAAGAACCTCTTTGTTGCCCTTCTCTGAACTTTTTCCAGTTCCATTATATCCACTTTTAAGATGGAGTGACCAGAACTGGACACAACATTCAAGGCGTGGGCAGACCATGAATTGATAAGAGTGGTATTATCGGCCCTTCTGTCTTATTTGCTAGCCCATCCCTAACAGTTCCTGACACGGTTAGTGGCTTTGAATGCTGCTGCACACTGAACTGAACTTTTCTGAAAACTATTCCTGATGATACCAAGATCGTTCTCTGGAGTAGCAACAGGTAATTTAGCCCCTGCCATTCCGTGTGTGGCGCTGGGATTGCGTTTTCCAATGTCTCCCCCACAAAGCACCCTCCTTACCTGGCGTCATAATCGTTGCGGATGAGCAGCAGGTGCTGCAGGATGGAGAGGAAGAATGGCTCTGCTTTGGAGTCCTTTACTGTGTTGAGGAGAATCTGGAACACGTCACTGAAGTCAGTGAAGAACAGGTTAAGGAAACGGAAGGGGAGGCATCCAGGTGCGCTGCCCTCTCTGGAGAGAAGGCAGCAGCCAGTCAAAGTACCCTCAAAGCCTGAGCACGCTCCCCTCTCGCACAGAGAGCTTTGCATGGGAAAAATGAAGAGGACACATTGCAGGAGACTGGTCTAAAATGGGGCTCTCACTCCTCCTTCCCGAGCCTTTCTGGAGCCCAGCCACCCTCTCCCAGTGACACTCCAGCTCCCGGTTGGAGTGGCGGCAGGAAAAGGGAGGCTGTTGGGAACTCATTCCTTCCACACCCACGAGACAGCAAGTGTCTCTGCATCCCTGCCTTATGCACCCAAACAGTATCCGTGGGCCCCGTTTTGGGGGGGAGGGCAAAGTCCTATCCCTCCGCCTCACTCCAAGTAACCCCTTTCCCATTATGCAGTGACCCCTCGGCTCCTTCCGTTTCACGACTCCCCTTTTCTCCCCCATCTCAGCCAAGCAAGCCCCCCCGGACACTGAACAAATCAAAGGTGTTTAAGAAAGAGGGGATGGCTATGCAGCAACACTGGCACAGAGAGCTCTACAGATTGTGCAGCCCGCTTACACCCTCAAATAAGGAAGGAGCCCTCAATCTCTGGACCACAGGGCATACTCACTAGAGGGAAAGGGTGAGCTCACATACCTAGACACACACAAACTCCTATTTCTAGCAGCCTCCTAGGCACCTTTCCCTTGGGAGAGCACAAATAACCCTTTTGCATTGGCCAGAAGCCCCAAGTCAACCCGCTGCCAGGAAATCTTACTGCCCCCACAGCCATTCCGAATAAGGAAAAGCGGGCTGTACCACTCTCCCCGTGAAGCAGGGTGAAGCTATCACCCCTCCGACCTAGGAAAAGCGGGCTGTACCACTCTCCCCGTGAAGCAGGGTGAAGCTATCACCCCTCCGACCTAGGAAAAGCGGGCTGTACCACTCTCCCCGTGAAGCAGGGTGAAGCTATCACCCCTCCGACCTAGGAAAAGCGGGCTGTACCACTCTCCCCGTGAAGAGGAAAAGCGGGCTGTACCACTCTCCCCGTGAAGCAGGGTGAAGCTATCACCCCTCCGACCTAGGAATATAAAAGGTTACCCGGTTAGCTGGCAAGCATTAGGGTTAGCAGAATGCTTACCAGGCAACCTGCTGGTTGGCCAACTGTGCCAGGCTGGAGCAGTCCTGGTTGAGTCCAGTCAGCTGCATTAGGGTGGCAGGCAGGGTCGCCTGCATTGGCCCCCTGGCCCCAGCTGTGCTGGAGTGGCCCAGGAGATCAGGCAGGATCCTGGCCCTGTCCTGTGCTGGAGCCCATGCAGCCAAGAAGGCCCCAGCTGTGTTAGTGCAGGCCAGCATGACCCCAGCCCTAGCTGCCGACGGTTAACTGGTTAACTGATATAATTTTAGCCATTAAAACAGTTAACCGGTTAAATGGCTATTTACAGCCCTACTCCACACAAGGCCTGGACAGCCGTTTGGCATGGCTTCTCCTGCCTAAATTCTTACTAACAGACATATCAGGTCTGCTGGGGAAGACGTTCCATGACACTGGACCTCCAGCTCCTAGCTCACTTCTTTCCCTCTAGGACTTGGAAAAGTTATTCCGACTCCAGCTTATTTATTCCCCAAAACTGCAAGCAACAGAGTGGGAAAGGCTCAGCTGTGCAGGGCAGACTACCCTCCGGGGGACACACACAGAAGGGGTAATTCCCCAGAGGGAGGTTTGGCATGGCTCTGTCTATCTAGGGTCTCATTCCGTGTGGGACAGACGAATGGAAATACTCTACTGCCGTGTTTCTCAAACTGTGGGTCCCTCAGAGGGGAGTTGCGGTATCACAGAGCTTGAGAACCCCTGCTCTACTTAGTTTTTGGAAAGCAGCAGTTGTTCCAGGTGCCCTCTGGTGGCAAAATCCAAAACAGCCAAACTTTGGGAAGGGTGAGATATTGGGTAACTATCAGCAAACCTCAATTTCACTGGACAAGCGCAAAAGGGACAAAGTATTTCCATTGACAAGTGAAATGTACTGACTGGCAGAGTAAGGAACAAGCTACTTGAGAACTTGGACTTTTCTATTTACTTGGTACATTTTGACATTTGATGTCTGAATGGTTACAAAGCTTCGCCTTTTTGAGTCTCAACACCTATTGTCAGCTGACCATCTTATTTCCCACAAAAATGCTTAAAAAGTTAGTCAAATCATCCATCAAAATGATAAAAAACGAAAGTTAGGCTCTGCCGTGCCTACCCAAAAGAGGGACAAATCACATCATCTATACCAAAAAAATATATCACGAAATCTGAAACTGAAGTTTCTGGAAGAGAGACAAGCTGCCTCCCACAGCCTTCCTCTTTTGCTCATAACCCCAAATCCCGAGCAGAGGATCAGCCCTTCCGCCAGCGTTTCACTCTCACCTCTGCAGGCTTTGCCTGGTGGGTCAGAGGCATCCTACAATGTAATGGGCAGCTCTGCCCCAAACAAGCCCTGGATCCATGTGGCCTGATGACAGGAAGCCCAGCTGGGCCCAGACACTCCCTGACCAGAGGAAAGACCCTCAGCCTCAGAGCCTTCCCTTACATGGACGAGGATGGTGCAAAGACTGGCCCCCCTGGGGATACCCCTGCCCCAAGCGCTCCCTCTGCCCACTGAGCAGTGGAAGGATATTCCATTTCCATGCGAATGTCGTCAAGGCGGCTCCTGAGGTCTTCAGAATCCTCCTCGCCATGCTCTTCAAACACAGTCAGCTGCACCTTCAGCTCCTCGTTCTCCAGTTTCCGCAGCTCCTGCCAACAGCACAAGCACATCCAAGGAGGCTGCCAGAAGCTACCCGGGCTCTGCTGGGGTCACTGGAGAGCAGACTGCTTTTCTGACGGCCACGTTAGAGCCCAAAGGAATGTAATGAGCATTAATGTGCACACAAGTCTGCTGGAAGCCCGGGAGAGCACAGGCCAGCATGCAGGCAGAGGCCCGCCAGCGGTGGCATGAACTCACAGCCACAGAAAAAGGGGCCACGCTCTAGGAGCGTTCCCACAGATGCTTGACGGCATGTGCAGAAGTATCACTGTGCAGGCGATGTGTGTGTGTGGGGGGGGGGGGGGGTTCACAGTGGGCTCAGGGCTGGGGCAGAGGGTCACTGGATGCTGGGAAGTGAAGGTTCTGGGGTGGGGCCAGGGAGGAGCAGTTGGGGGGTGGGAGAAGGCTCAGGGCTGGGGCAGAGGATTTTGATGCAGGGTTGAGGGCTCCAGGATGGGCTCACGACTGAGGGCTTAAGGAGGACGCAGGCGGGGTGAGAGCTCTGGGGTGGGGCTAGGGACGGTCTCAGGGAGAAAGCTCTCTTCCCAGCCACAGGGGGTGCCTCTCCCTCAGCAGGTCCAAGGGAGAGGCTCCTCCCCTGCCCGCGTGGCCCTTGACAGGCTGCCACATGGGAACTTACGGGCACAGACCCAGGGATGCAAACACCAAAGGGAGTGTGATCACCATCCAACTGACCCTGGAGGCTGGGTAAGTAGGAGGGAGGAGGCACTGACCAAGAACAGGGCTTCAATACAGCCCACATCATTCCTGCAGCAAGGGTCTGAACACAGAACAGCCACACTGCATCAGACCAGTGGCTGATTTCGCCCAGGACCCTGTCCTCTGACAGCGGCCAATGCCAGGTGCTTTAGAGGAATGAAAAGGAATTTGAAGAGCAGCTAGGCAAAAACTCAAAACTAGCAAAGTATTTTTAAGTCCGTCAGAAGCAGGAAGCCGGCTAAACAGGCAGTGGACGATCAAGATGCTAAAGGGGCACTCAAAGACGGTATGGTCACTGTGGAGAAACTAACTCAATTCTTTGTGTCAGTCCTCCTGGCTGAGGATGTGAGGGAGATTCCCGACCCTGAGCCAGTCTTTGTAGGAGACAAACCTGAGGAATTTTCCCTGACTGCGGTGTTAGAGGAGATTTTTTAACACGTTGATAAGCTAAACAGTAACACGTCACCGGGACCAGATGGCATTCACCCGAGTTCAGAAGGAACTCAAATGGGAAATTAAAGAACAAACAACCGTGGTTTGGAGCCTTTAAATCAGATTTTGTACCAAATGACTGGAGGAGAGCTAATGTGACACCAATTTTTAAAAAGGGCTCTAGAGGTGATCCTAGGAATTACAGGCCAGTGGGTCTAACTTCTGTACTGGGCAAATTGATTGAAACCATAGTAAAGAACAGAATTGTCAGACACATGGATGAACATAAATTCTTGCGGGAAATGGTTTCTGTAAAGGGAAATCCTGCCTCACCAATCCACTAGAATTCTAAGAGACGGTCACCAAGCATGTGGAAAAGGGGATCCAGTGGATATAGGGTGCTTAGATGGAACCCTTGGCTCTTAAGTACAGTCAGCTGTCATGGGATAAGAGGGAAGGTCCTCTCCTGGACTGATAAGATAGGAAACAAAGGCTGGGAATAAATGGTCAGTTTTCAGAATGGAGAGCGGTAACTACAGGTGTCCCATAGGGCTCTGTCATGGGACCAAGCCAATTCAACATACTCATAAATGATGTAGAGCAAGGGGTAAACAGCGAGGGGGGCAAAATTTGCAGATACTACACAACTGCTCAAAATAATTAAGTCCGAAGCAGACTGTAAAGAGCTTCAAAAGGATCTCACAAAACTAGGTGCCTGGGCAACAAAACAGATTAATTTTCATGTTGATAAATGCAAAGCAATGCATATTGGAAATCGTAATCCCAACTCTACGTAGAATATGAATGGGGACTAAATGAGCTGTTTCCTCTCAAGAGACAGATCTCGGAGTCACTGTGGAGAGTTCTCTGAAAACACCCATTCCGCGTGCAGCAGCAGTCAAAAAAGCAAACGATGTTGGGCATAATTAAAAATGGAATAGAGAGTAAGACAGAGAATATAAATCCATGGTACGCCCACATCTTGAATACTGTGATTTCCCTTTATAAAAGCTGTGTTGACTCTTCCCTGGCAAATAACGTTTATCTAGATGTCTGATAATTCTGTTCTTTCCTATAGTTCGACCAATTTGCCCACTAACAAAATGAGGCTTACTAGCCTGTAATTGCAAGGTCACTTATGGAGTCTTTTAAAAAAATTGGCATCACATTAGCTTTCCTCCAGTCATCTGGTACAGAGGCTGTTAGTGATAAATTCCATACCACACGTAGGAGTTCTGAAATTTCACTTTTGAATTCCTTCAGATTTCTTGGGTGAATACTATCTAGTCCTGGTGACTTGCTCCTGTTTAATTTATCAATGTGTCCCAAAACCACCTCTACTAACACCTCAGTATGGAATAGCTCTGCAGATTGGTCACATAAAAAGGATGGGTCAGGTCTGGAAATCTCTCTGCAGGGACCAATGATGCAAAAAATACATGCAGTTTCCCTGCAATGCCTTGTCTTCCTTCAGTGCCTGGATGGCCCGGTGGCCCCTGATTGGCTGGCAGACTTCCTGCATCTCATGACCTTTACATTTTTGAACTTTGCTAGCTGCTCTTCAAATGCATTCTTTTTGGCCTGCCTAATGAGATGCTGTACACGACTTGCCAGAGTTTATGCTCCTTTCTACTCTCTGTAGGACTGAACTTCCAACAGGGAAAGGATGCCGTTTTGCTGGATTGGGAAGAGCCATACGACTCCATGGCTACTGGCGCTTTTGAGCAGTACCAAGTCCTGAGGCAGTGGCTGCCGTCCTCACTGAGGACGGCTCCCCGCAGGAGGAGGTGACTGCTCCTTACCGTAAGGACGTGCAGCAGCCCAGAACGCATCAGTTCACTTCGAATGTGGACTCGGAAGTCAAGCTCATCGGCGGGGATGATAAGGGCATTGATCAGCTGCATGCAGGCTACCTAAAACAGAGAGTTTCTGCATCAGACTGAGCCAGGCCTTTTCTCGTCATCAGGCAGAACTCCATTCCCATCAACCAAGGGAGTGCTACAAACCGGGAGCTATCAAACACACGGCATCCGACACCCTCCCTCCCGCGCCCTGCTCGCTACAAACTGCTGGAGCTGACACCCCCAGAGTACAATGCCCACAACCCGAGAGGTGAGGTACCTTCAGTGCCACGGAGGTCCTGCCCTTTAGACCGTCCAACAAGGGACCAAATCGCTCCACCTCCTCCACGTCCGCTCGCTGAGTCAGCGCCTCCAGAACACGCTCATGCCTGAAACAGCAGGAAGAGAGACTCAGCAGCTGCCTGAATTGGGGGTGGGGCGAGAAGGGAGAGAAGAGGGGTCTCCAGAGAGGCAAACGACTGCCCCGTCTAGAGGGATGGGGCTCGCTGAGTCTGAGACACCTACATATCCTCAGGCTGCGGCAGGATACAGAGAGCAGACAGCAGCTTCACAGCATCTATCATCATGGAAGGGACTTTGGGGTCAACAGCTCTCACCAACAGCAAGATCCCCTCCTCAGTTTCTAGCATTGTCTTGATTCCAAACTGTGGGGGGCAGAAAGGGGGTTAGTGCACGTGGCTCAGCCAGCCAAACAAGGAGCACAGTGAGAACCGTCTATGGCTCAAAGCTGAGACTGCTGTAAGGCTCAAGGCAGGCCACTTCCCCAGACAGTGCAGATGGCAAGATGCCTGGCCAACGTCTGTCCACACAGCCCTTCCATCCTTTCAGAGGGGAGACCAAGGAGGAGTTGGGGGTCCTAAATGATCGATGCCAGCAAGAAGAAAGGGGCTTGGTGGGATCCCAACGAGCGTGCATAGGGAGAGAAGTGTCCAGAGAGAAAGGAACCAAAGACGCTAGCAAGGAAGCCGAGAGCGCTCACAGCATGTGTGACCAAGGAGGAGGAATGGAGAAAACAGAGGGCCAGGGCAGTTTAACGGATTAATACTTGGTGCCCAGAATGCCTGCAAACGGGAAGGGGAATGAGATGGCTTGGGGCATGAAAGGGAGGCTGGAAGGAAGACAGCGCTCTCGCGTATGAGCAAGCAGGAAAGGAGATGGGAATATCGCAGGGGTACAGCAGAGAGGATGATGCAGGGCAGAGGAAAACAGAGCGAACCAAGTGCTCCAAAATGCCTGCAAGAGAGAGGCTGGAGAATGTACACTAGGGCCCAGGTGGGAGATGGGGGAAGGGCACAATCCGAGGGGGAGGAGGCAGCGCGTGAGCGAGTGTTTACTGAAGAGTCCATCCCCATGTCCCTAACACTTCTGGGGCTAGCCCCACGCTGCCAGCACTGAATCCACGAGGAAGAGAAGGCGACAACACTTGGATGGGCCTAGGCCGAGGACAGGGATCTCACCTTGTTGTTCATGAAAGCCTTCAGGCATCGGATGATCTCGTGTTTGCTGCGCGTGTCATAGGAGCTGTGAGGAAGGGAAGTCAGCTGATGAACAGTCACATGGAGCACAGCACGCCCCATCGTCCTCCCCCCAAATAAAGGGCAGGAGGCCCACAACGTTCAGGTAGGACCAGGAAAGAGCTGAGGTGTCCGGAGCAGTACTCCAACCTCACTAGACGCCCCACCCGAAGACATGAATTCAAAACCAAGACAAGGCAAGGCTGCTCCATCTCCTGGAGAACCCCCCCACCCACCATCACCCACGTCTTGCTCAACTTTAGCTTCTGCCCTCCCCCGCAAGTCACCCCACAATTGTCAAGCCCTGTTCATCTCAGCCCACTGAAGACCTCTTTTGGCAAGCACCAGACACAAGCACTGCCCCAATGCCATCTCTTCCCCCACACCCCGCCGGCCAGGCAGTGAGAATGCCCGGCCCCTGGCTTTTGCTTGTTCTCCCGCCATCTCCAATCAGCCAAACAATACGGACATGCAGTAAAAATCCTGCTGCCTCACAAGCCCCTTAGGGTTATAACCAGGGCTCGCCAGCCACACGCTACTGGGCGCTGCGCATGCACTGACTGCGCTGCACGGGGCTAAAATCTACTTGCCACGGGCGAGCCCTGGTTATAACAGCTTGCCAATGCAGCAGGCCAGGGGTTTGCTTGGCTCTGCAGAGTGCTGTGCATAGTAACTTGTCACTCCCATAGCTCTTCAGCCACACTTCACAGAGACGGGTCAAAGGCCCACTGCCCCCGTCTACCAGAGGGGGAAGCTAGAGTCAGTGGCAGGGCGAGGACAAGAACCCTGGTTTCCTAGTTCCCACACTCCTGCCCTAACCAGGAAAGGGAGAGGGCTCTGGAGAGACCCTGTGCTAATTCACACATACTGGTGATGGGGGTGTTTTCTCTATGGCTACGTGGATTTAATTTAACTGGAGTGTGTCCATAAAGCAGGCAAAAAGGAGAAAGAATGGCTGCAGACAGCCACCAGTGAGCACACACTGTCAGCTGTTAGGGGACAAGGCCAAAACTGTCTGCTTTAGTGACTGGCTCCAGAGCTGGGTCTGACCAGGCTGGGAACAGGCCTATGGGCCCTGAAGAACAAAAGCACTTTTCTGTTCCTGCTACTAAAAGGGAAACTCCCCTGGCTTTAGCAAGGCTGCCTGCTCCCAGGCCTTGCAGGGGGAAGAACTGCAAGTGCTCACGCTCTGGAGACACTGAAGAGCAGGCTAGAGACACATCTACCAGAGATGCTCTAGACGGCACGTGGTCCTGCCGCAAGGGAGCTGATGGCCTCTCGAGAGCCCTTCCAGTTCTAGGGTTCCAATCTGCAGGATACGCAGGGTGTTGTGGGGAATGCTCAGCGCCGGATGCCTGAAGGAGCACTCAGAGCCAAGGCGGGGACATCCCAGACACACAGCACTTTCTAAATAGCGCCCCTCACCTGGGTGCCTCGTCCTTCTCGTCATGGAGTCTTTTTAATATGTCCAGCAGGCAGTTGAGGCCCTCTGCCCCGAAATTCTGTACCCAGCTGTAAGAAACAGAGAGACGTTAGCAACGCATAGAACTGAACATCACCCGCCCGCCTCTCTCCTCTGCTCCACCCCCAGGCCCTGGGAAGAAAGCACTTAACCCCCTTGCTTGTAGCTTCAGTTCCCTGCCTGGTTTCCTCTGCTCCAGCAGCCCCTTACCTGACAGGGTTGTTGTTGAGTGACACTCGAAGAGACTCCAAACAACTGAGCAACTGGGCGTCCCTGAGGTTTGATTTCAGCTCCTGGATATAGATCATGGCGGACTTGGAGCTCTCCTTCTGACTCATGCCCTACACACGGAGGAAAGCACAGGTCATCAGGCAAAGGAACTGCGGCTACAGCGCCAGGACACAGAAATGGGCTCTCTGGCACGTGAGCGGGCGCACACATGCACCCTCCAGCTCAAAGGACTGAAGGGTGAAGCTGGGCTGGCTAAAGCTTTCGCACCAGTTACCTGGAGTGTTTTAAACCCACGTCTGACGGTCAGAGGTATTTCAGAGTTACCTCTCTCACCATTCTCTCTTCCTCCACCCACCGCGCTCAGGGGCATCAGGAGGAGGTAACGACAGAGGGGAGCAGCAATCAGTCTGAGGAAAGCACAGTGGGGCCTGCGGGTCCTACAGGAATGGCCATTCGTTTTCAGGCCATAGCCAGTGGCTAGAAGGGGTAATGTTGGTGTTGCATGAGCTGATGGGTAGGTGAAGTGAAGGAGGCTTTGTGTTTGGGTCAGTGGCCCCTTGGACATCAGTGCATTCCCATGCTCTTCACTGGGGTTTTCAGCACTGGTCCTGTGGACCAGGCCTGCTCTTCCCCCTCAGGTTTTGGGGTAATATTTTGAGGAGATGGAAGGGGTTATCTGCTAGTCCGATAGCCAGGGAAATGTTCCTGGTTCAGTCACTCTCGGGGAGGGGTGCCAGGGGTGTGCCCAGCAGCAGAGTGGGGGCTCTCCTGTTTATTGCACCCAATGTAGCGTGTGAGATTACCTGCCCTGTGAGCGGGTGGCGTGTGTGCACATTCGGTGCAAGGAGCTCCTGGCCCTCAGAGACCGAATTCGGGCTTTGGAGGCCAGCGTGGCTGAACTGGAGGAGCTGAGGGAGGCTGAGAGGTATGCTGATGAGGCTTCCTGGGACACTGTAGAACTGTCCCACCTCTGGTCAGACAGCACCTGTGCCGCTGAGGAGGATGAACGGCTCAGGGAAGGAGACCAGTCAACTGGAGCAGAGGGAAATGATCCCATAGCTGGGTCCCTCCTTCCAGAGGACGCTATGGTCTCCTCTCTCACTGAGGATACCTTTCCGGGAGGGAACGCCCATCATTAGGAAAAGGCCGGTGTTAGTAATGGGGGAGTCGATCCTTAGAAACATAGATAGCTGGGTTTGTGATGACCAGGAGAACCATATGGTGACTTGCCTGCCTGGTGTGAAGGCTGTGGATCTCTCGAGGCATCTAGACAGACTTATGTGTAGTGCTGGGGAGGAGCCGGTGGTCGTGGTACCTGACGTAGGGAAGGCATGACGTGGGTACCAATGACTTAGGGAAGGCTAGGAGAGAGGTTCTGGAGGCCAAATTTAGGCTGCTAGGAAAGAGATTGAAATCCAGGACCTCTATGGCAGCGTTCCAGGTAGGCAGGCAGAGCTTCAGAGTCTCAATGTGTGGATGAGATGATGGTGTAGAGAGGAAGGGTTTAGATTTATTAGGAACTGGGGAAACTTTTGGGATTGGGGGAGCCTCCACAGGAAGGATGGGCTCCACCTAAACCACAATGGAACCAGACTGCTGGCACTGAACATTAAGAAAGTCGTAGAGTCGTTTTTAAAGAAAGGGCTGGGGGAAAGCCGCTGGGTGCAGAGCAGCACATGGATCAGACAGACGCATCTTTCTGGCAGTTCAGTTCTGTAGTTTCCGCACCAGAGCCCTGCTCTTCAGAGTTCTGAGCACACGGGCAGCACTTCAGATCCTTAACCCTTGGCTTGTGGGCTGTAGCTAGTTTCAGAAATGGCAAAGAAAGTACCAATTTGCATTTTGTTAAGTCTGCTGTGAAAGTGTCAAAACAAACATGTGCCAGGTCATCACCCGGGCCTGCTGTAACACGAACTATATGGCAGAAAGGGGAGTCAAGCAAAGCAGGAGACATACCGCTCTCCGTCAAGGAATTCAGCCACCAATTTAATGAATGCATTCATTATCTTTTCATTAGCATGGACACATGTCCAATGGAACGGTGGCCAAAGCACAAAGGGGTATCTGAAGGGTTAGCCTACAGTAAATACTTTGCAATGAAAGGCTACAAAATGCCCTGTGAACACCTGTTCTCACTTTCAGGTGGCACTGTAAATAAGGCTGTGTGTAGTGTAAACACTGTTTGCCAGCACTTTTGCTGACAAAACACCTCCAGCCCCTGCAAGCGGGACTCCAGGAAAGTGCTCCTGCCAACAATGGGCCACTTGTCAGGGCCAAACTTTTGTCTTTCGGGAGAGGAGGGTGAGCACTTGAACAACAAAAGTTTTGCTCTTCAGCTGGCAGTGGCACATCTACAACTTACACTCAATCAGCAAAACTTTTGTCGTTCACAGATGCCAGTTCATCGGGTAGCAGCAAGATATTCCCTAGGAAATATTCCACCCTCTGACTCCACCACCTCAACCAAGTGAGACAATCAGCATTGCTGTGTACAGTATCACATTTTTAAAAACTTTACTGTGTATGTACTGCCTTCTGCCTGTGGAAAAAAAATGTTCCTGGAACCTAACCCTCACTTTTACATTCATTCTTATGGGGAAATTGGATTCATTTAACATTGTTTCACTTAAAGCAGCATTTTTCAGGAACATAACTAACAAGTGAGGAGCTGCTGAATAGTACTTGTATGAGGTGAACTGAAATATGCTATTTCTTCTGAGAATCATGTTTATAGTGCAAGTATCTGTAAAAAATAGAACATGAAGGCTGTGCACTGTATTGTGTGTGTAAGCTGAAAATGCAGTAATATTTCACTGGGTATTCTATCGTCTAACAGTGCAATGATTCATTTTGTAATCACATTTAATTTTTTGAGTTAATGATGTGAGTGAACTGCAAGTAGCCTACAGACCTGGGAAAAAGGGCTGCTGGAATTGAGCCTGCAGCCTGTTCACACATTCTAAGGCCAAAAGTGACCATTCAGCACTGGGAATAAATGGACTGTTTGCCTGGAGTCACAGCTGACCAAAGGAATGGGCATTTCTAGGAATGATGCTCTCTGGGTGTCCAGGAGCAATGGGGACTGGAGCAGGAACCAGAGACGAGTCCCCACAGGGTCAATTAAAGACATGTCGAATTTCAGCTCGTAACTTGAATTTCTTCCTTCCTCCAGCAACCACCACCTCAATAGTTAGCCAGTTGCATTTTATTCAGGTCCTTCAGAGAGGGCGGATGGCTATTAGCACGAGAAGAGAGGGTGCTAGAGCTGAGCATCATTAGCGTGGTGCTGGCAGTGACAGCTGGGTTGTTTCGTGAGCTCCCTACAATACTGCAGTTGCTCTCTCCGACTGGAGCCGGCATGAGAAGGGCCTAATGTCAGTAACCACTGGTAGGTCCCCTTGGCAGCGGAGATGGGAATGAGCAGGCTGGTACAAGAGGACAGAAAGGAGATTCCCATAAGGTCGAGGTCTCTTCCTGGAAGGGACTGACCAGACAGTAAGCAGACGTGCTCCCAGCTTGAGGTCCCACTCGTTCCTGGAAGCCCACAGTGTGCGCAGTCCAGGATAGCACGCATCCCACAGCAGGGCTAGCGGAGCTTGGCCCTGAACTCCTGGGGTGTTGCTTCTGTGGCTTCCCTCGGTTGTTTCATGAGATGGGCTAACAACAAGGGGCGAGGGCCAAGAGATTAACAAGGGCTGGAATTACACAGGGTGACCTTTGGGAATAATTTATAATCCCCACTGGACAAAAGTTATTCCAGCCCACGGCTGAAAGAAACGGGTAAGACAGCAGCCCACAGGGATGAGAAGCAGCAGCTCTGGCGGCATCAGTGCAGGTTGGAAGAGGCCGCTAGGCAGGGGGTAGCAGCTCTCCTGCAGGGAATGAGCGCCTCCCTCCCACAGCGTTAGCAGTTCTGCGCTGCTGAGAAGTGGAAGCTCCCTGGCAGAACTGGCGCTGCTACCTGAAGGGCGTTCTCCTGGTAGGAGGCATGCAGATACCCAGGGATCTCGGAGTAGCCTGAGAGTCCTTTGGCGCGTGGAATACGTTAAACGGGTCTGGCCCTTCCCAGGGAGATGGGACCTCCTGAGGAATCCCAGAGGACTATAACCAAGATGCGGCCCCTTCCCCACACCAAGGCCCGTGGCCCCCACCGCTTCCTCATGGCTCTCGCTCCAGGGGGCTAGTCGGACAACTAACTGGTGAAGGAATATCCTGCATGAACACATGAAGCTGCACACAACTCTACTTGCACCCCAGAAATCAACTGCCATTGCTCTCTTGCCCCAAAAGTCAATCCGCCCCGCCCCGCGCTAAGGAGCCTGCTGCTCTCAGGCAGGAAGCCCTGAGTCAGGATAGGGAGCACTCGAGGTAGGTGCTGGGATTAGAACTCCCCCTTCCTCCTCGGTAGCCGACGCAGCAGCAGCCAAGGCAGGAGGAGAAGCCCAGACAGAGGGGAGGCACTGCTGGAGTCTGAGGGTGGCACTGCTCCCCGCCGCTGGCAGAGTGGACAGGCTGCTGCCCCTGCGGATGGGGTATTCCGCAAGGCCCCCCCGGCACTGCCTCCCCGCAAGGCAGCAACAGAGAGGGGGAGGAGTGAAGAAACTCAACCCCTAGGGCAGCGGGGCCAAGTGGAGGAGGTGGAGGGGCTCAGGCTGTGTGCGCTGGCACTGGACAGCGCCGTAACCTTCTGGGTCAAGGATGCGGCCTGCCCCCGAGCGCAGCACATTCCAGTGCTGATAAAACGCCAGTGAGAACCACGGCGCCGCAGGCCCAGCGCTGTCAGCGGCTCCCCTCCTGGAGGTGGTTTACACAGAGCACCCAGGGAGCCCTCCCCCAGCACACATGCCAAGGCCACGCTGCCAGTTTCCAGTGCTGTGTTAAGTGCAGTCAAAGCCTTAGCCTTACACCGCCATGGGGGAGGAGGAATCAGCATTCAGGACTTCCTCACTCCCCAAGAGAAAGGGATTCCGCGCAAGCGACTTCTACCTGCAGGGCAAGGGAGGCTGACGGCTGATACACAGGGCCAGGGAAAAGGTTTCTCTCACTGTGAGTGTCCCTCCCCCCACACATGGGAAGGAAACCCCAGCCTACTGGGGAAGGGGCCTTCCAA